ACACCTTGTGCTTTTGGGCACTCCAGTGATGCTTGATTGATTGATTGATTGATGATCACGCTTCAGAAGCTTTGCAATTTTAAGAGTGCTGCATCCCTCTGCAAGATATCTCACTATTTTTGACTTTTCTGAGCCTGTCAAGTCCTTCTTTTGACCCATTTTGCCAAAGGAAAGGAAGTTGCCTAATAATTATGCACACCTGATATAGGGTGTTGATGTCATTAGACCACACCCCTTCTCATTACAGAGATGCACATCACCTAATATGCTTAATTGGTAGTAGGCTTTCGAGCCTATACAGCTTGGAGTAAGACAACATGCATAAAGAGGATGATGTGGTCAAAATACTCATTTGCCTAATAATTCTGCACTCCCTGTATATATTTATATAGGCAATTGAAATAGTTGGCTGCACTCTTGGATTTCCTTAAAACTTAACTTTTATTGAAATATTTAAGAGAAGATGGGACTGAAACGTTGATCTTCTCTTAAATATTTCAATAAAGTTACGTTTTAAGAAAATCTGAGAGTGCAGCCAACTATTTCAATTGCCTGGATACTGGAGCCCTGGTGATGCACTGGTGATGCACCCGGTCATATATATTATTGATACATTTCTTCTTCTAATTCAAAATATTAGTTCTTTCGGGGTAATTAAATTATACAGTAAAGCATACTCAAACACAGACACAGACAATCTTACTGATGCACACAAATAGGCTCATTGACAGACAATCTCAATGACACACACACAAATTTAGTACAGACAAACTCTGATACACACACAAGCTTACTACAGACAAGCTCACTGTCACACACACACGCTCACAACAGACAAGCTCACTGATGCACACACACTCTCCCTACAGACAAGCCCATTGACACACACATGCTCCCTACAGAAGAGCTCACTAACACACAGATTCACTACAGACAAGCTCACTGACACACACATGCTCACTAAAGACAAGCTCACTGACACACATATGGTCACTACAGACAAGCTCACGATCACACACATGCTTACTACAGACAAACTCACGATCACACACATGCTTACTACAGACAAGCTCACTGTACACACATGCTCACCACAGACAGGCTCCGACACACCCATGCTCCTTACAGACAAGCTCACTAACATGCACACATACATATGATCCCTACAGACAAGCTCACTGACACACATACAAGCTCACTCACTAGCAGGCACACACACACAAACTCACTAGCAGGCGCACACACACAGAGGCTCCATCACTAGCAGATGCACGCACACACACACACAGAAGCTCACTCGCTCACTCACTAGCAGATGCACACACACAAAGACATCCACACACACAGAGGCAGACAGTCACTAACACCGAGGCAAACATCCACACATACAGAGACAGGCAGACAGCCACACACACAGGCAGACAGTCAAACACACACAGGCAGACAGCCACACACACACACAGGCAGACAGTCACACATACAGACAGTCACACACACACAGTCACACACAGGCAGGCAGACAGTCACACACACAGGCAGACAGTCACACACACACAGGCAGACAGTCACACACACACACAGGCAGACAGGCAGACACACACACACACGACACAGACAGTCACACACACAGGTAGACAGTCACACACACACAGGCAGACAGTCACACACACACACAGTGGTGTACATAACGGGGTAGCAGGGGTCGCGGCTGTGAATGGGTCCGGCCTACCAGGGGGCCCGGCCACCCTGCGACCCGGTATATACCCAGTGTGGCCAGCCTCTTCTCCTGGGGGGCCCAGGAGCCGGCCACCACAGGCCCCCCCGAAGCTGTCCCTGGTGTCAGCCGGCGGATGGGCTGGCAGGCGCGCGAGGGAGCACTCTCCCCTGAGTGCTCCCTCTTCAGCTCCCTCGTGCACCGCACTGATACCGGAGCCGAAATATGACGTCATCTTCCGGCTCCAGCATCAGTACGCAGCGTGCAAGGGAGCTGAAGAGGGAGCACTCAGGGGAGAGTGCTCCCTCACGCTCCCGCCAGCCTGTCCGCTGGCTGACACCAGGGCCAACAACACCACTGGAACCCAGGGAATCCTCTCAGCTCTCCCTAAGGTAAGGAGGCTGGGGGAAACGTGTGTGTTAGTGTGTGTGTGTTAGAGTGTGTGTGTTAGAGTGTGTGTGTTCGTGTGTGTGTTAGAATGTGTGTGTGTGTGTGTTAGAGTGTGTGTGTTAGTGTTAGAATGTGTGTGTGTGTGTGTGTGTGTTAGTGTTAGAATGTGTGTTAGTGTTAGAGTGTGTGTGTTCGTGTGTGTTAGAATGTGTGTGTGTTAGAGTGTGTTAGTGTTAGAATGTGTGTGTGTGTTAGTGTGTATGTGTTAGAGTGTGTGTGTGTTAGTGTTAGAATATGTGTGTTAGTGTGTGTGTGTTTGTGTTAGAGTGTGTGTTAGTGTTAAAGTGTGTGTGTGTTAGAGTGTGTGTGTGTGTTATTGTTTGTGTCAGTGTGTGTGTTAGTTTGTGTGTGTCAGTGAGTGTGTTACTGTGTGTGTGTTACTGAGTGTGTTAGTGAGTCTGTTTGGTGTCTGTTAGTGAGTGTGTGTTTTGTAAGTGAGTGTGTATGTGTCTGTCTGTCAGTGAGTGTGTATGTATGTCTGTCACTGAGTGTGTCTCTGTCAGTAAATGTGTGTGTTTGTGTCTGCAAGCTAGTCTGTTCGTGAGAGTGTGTGTGTCTTCAGCACTTACTTTTCTCCAGCGCCGGACTCCTTTGGCGTTCGGGATCCCTCTGCCCCAATCCGCCACTCAGCTCCGAATGCTTTCCTATGGACGTTCAGCGTCTTCTCACTGTGAGAATCGGGGAAGCTCCTCTAGCGGCTGTCAAGGAGACAGCCACTAGAGGCTGGATTAACCCCCAGTGAAACATTGCAGTTTCTCTGAAACTGCTATGTTTTCAGCTACAGGGTTAAAACTAGAGGGACCTGGCACCCAGACCACTTCATTGAGCTGATGTGATCTGGGTGTCTGTAGTGGTCCTTTAAGTGTATGTGTATCTGCATGCACTGGCGTACATACCAGGTGCCCGCCGCCATGTGTTGCGGCCCCGGCCTGCGCAGAGTAAGCGCGGGGGTGGAAACGGATCAGATTTCGCACCAGGGCCCCATGGGTTGTGTGTACGCCACTGCACACACACACAGACAGTCACACACACAGGCAGACAGTCACACACACACAGGCAGACAGTCACACACTCACAGGCAGTCACACACAGACTCACTGACCTGCTTCTTACCTCCACATCCCTTGCAGCTCCTGGAGGCTAGTTGTTGGGGAAGCAGGGACTCCTTCCTGCTTCCCATGCAGCAGTTACCAGGGCCCCCAGCCGCACGCTAAGCTCCGCCCCACCCCACCACAGGCTAAGCTCCTCCCCCTGTTGCACGCTAAGCTCTGCCCCACCGCAATATTTTGTTTTTTAATGTGTGAGCTGTGTCGGCCGCCTGGCTCCCCCTGCTCCCATGGGGCCCTGCTCACACATGGCCTCACACATGGCCGGCCGGGATTACAGGAGCCTGATCACTGGTTAGGGCTGTCAGCCCAGCCCCAGGTGCCGCGGCCCACTGGCATGCAGGGGATTGGGGACATGCCCAACAGTTCTCCAGTAGCGTATTTACTTTGTATAGTTCTCTTGGATTTTGACTTTTTGGCATTGTTTGACTATTATACCTTCTGTATTCCTTTGACCTTGGCTCTTGTTTTATTGTTGTTCCTGATTTCTGGTATGCCTGACCTCAGCTCATATATTATTATTACTCTCTGGCCATTATAAGGTCCGGGATATGTTACTATTCCTTTACACTCTGCGTGTAGGATCCCCTAATATTCCTATATTCCTACCAATGAATCCAAATCTCTAGTCATAATCTTGTCTAGAACAGTAGGATGTAGATTCTCTTTTTGCATTTTGTATCACGAGCTTGTTACAGTCAAGTACTATCTTTTACCCAAAGAGTATTTGTGTTTATTTAATTTTTTTTTTTTAAGAATGTGCTTTAACCTTCTCTTTTATTTCATCAAATAGTACATGCAAATTAAGGTTATATTTTATTCCAATTTCCTGAAAACCACAGTGGAATTTAACACAGATCCCATGGGGACAATGTCCCACAGGATGTTCCATGTTCTATTCTCAAAATATGAACCAAAACTATGTGCGTTCAGTGCTGTTTCCCCACTAAGAATGAGAACCTGCTTTCATTTTCACAGCAAGACAGAGGAGTACAATACTTACTGAAAACATATCATTATAGCAGGTCCTAGTCTATACAAACACAATATTGTATAAGAAAGTCTACAGACAACAATTGAAGTGACTGTCTAAAGTACTGCCACACTGATAAGGGACATATTATTTCCTCTCGCCATCAATAATGTCTTGGCTGGGGAGGGGAGAATCTCTATCTAAGTCAGAGATTGCATTTTACCTATTAAGGGTTATGAAATTGTATAAAGATCAAAAGGCTCATATTATCATTTCCTCTTTCTTAACAGCAAAATACAAAAATACACAGCTAAATTCATAAGGGGTAATCTCCTATGTCCCTTTGTTTTAGCCAAATAAGTAACCTTATAACACCCTCCCTAGCCCAACATTCCCCTTGAAATAAATAACACAGACACCATGTTTGGAGGTAAAGCCATCGCTGGCTGCATTTACTGAATACGTCACTGGCATCATGGCAGAAAAACCATTCAAACAGAACGGCCATAAAATATAAATAGTGACGGTACTGCGTGCTAGACTCCTCAGCCCACAAGAGGATGCGGCGAAACCTAATCCTGCAGCGGAGCACCCGTTGCATCCGCCCAAGCAGAGGCATAAGGACAGCAAGGAAGAATCTTTGGCATGGCTACCATGCACGCATACTGCAGGCGGGCGCCCCAGCCAGGCCACTGCCCAATAGGGGGGGTAAAGCCCGGCCTCCTTGCCGCCATCACTCCTGCCCTCTCTCCCTGCACAACGCCCTAAAGCCACACCCTCTCGCAGTAGAGGGAACAGGAACCTCCAACCCCAAGTGGAGTGTGCATGGTACTGCTGTTATACCCTGCTACGTGGAGCGACCGATGCCAGCAGCCAAAGACAGTGGTGCTGCCTTGAACCCATAAACAGTCTGGTGTGTAAGGAAGAATGGAGCAAGCGAAGGTAAATTAACAGAAGACGTACACCCCCTAGACGCTGCTGGAGAAACTGGACACCCCTAAGCCCAGATCCACTCCCCCCCAGGAGCTCCCAACTTACCCTTCTTGGGCCTGGAATGTCGCAGGGGACTTTCTTGCAGCCGACCCTTGTAAACTGCATGACCAGAAGTGATGGCCGCGTCACTTCCTGCGTGTTCGGCGGAGCCATTAATGGTGGCCACATGGTACTGCCAGAGTTGAGGGAAGCACTCCGGCGACCACAGACAGCGCGGGAGCCGAGGGGGCAGCAGGGAGAGTGCCCTGAAGAACCCCAGGAGACGCATGGGTCGCGAGCTGCCTGGGGTCTGCCACATCCAAGCAGGTAGAGGGCAAGTTGTGGTCAGGGCCACTGGAGGCCCCGGGGTAAAGCAGAGTGAGAGTGGGAGACGGGTTGTCCTTGGCTGCCTGAGTAAATGCAGCCAAGGCAGAGAGAGCATAGGAGGGAAGAGGGTCAAACTGAGCAGCCAAGTGATGCAATGCCTAAGCTGAAGGGGGGAGGGAAGTAGGGGATACACGAGGGTGTGAGAAAGAAGGAAGGACAGGATGGGGAAAGTGATGCTGAACAGCAGTAGAAGGAAGAGAAGAGACAGATAGTGAAGAAACCTTAGAAACAGGAGGAGTGGAGACAGGCACAGAAGAAATTATAGCAGTTGGAGGAGTTGGAGAAAACTTCTCAATACTCATCTCTTGTTCTTCCATTGCAGGGCGTCGGGAAGAAGGAGGGATGGAGTTTCTGAACCTCTGTGGGGATCCTACCAAGAGGCGAAACCTTTCCAGGAACCAGCAGGAATAAAAAGGAGGGACAGGAATTGGAGGAACCTCTTAAAAGGGAAGGGGAGGCCCCTCCCACCATGCTGCAACATTTACTGCCTAAACTCCAGTCCTATTGAAAGACCCATTAATTACTTTTCAGGCCCACTAGGGGGCCCTCTCCAGAGCCGGACTGGCCCACCGGGATACCGGGAAATTTCCCGGTGGGCCGTGGCACCTGGGGCTGGGCTGACAGCCCTAATCAGTGATCAGGCTCCTGTAATCCCGGCCGGCCATGTGTGAGCTGTGTGGCCGCACAGGGCCCCATGGAAGCAGGGGAAGCCAGGCAGCCGGCACAGCACACACATGGCCGGCCGGGATCATTTAAAAAAAAAAAAAATTGCGGTGGGGTGGAGCTAGCGTGCGGCAGGGGTGGAGCTTAGTGTGCAGCGGGGCGGAGCTTAAAATGCGACGGGGGCCCTGGTAACTGCTGCATGGGAAGAAGGAAGGAGTCCCTTCCTTGTCTGTAAGGAGCATGAGCCTGTCTATGGTGAGCATGTGTGTACAGTGAGCTTGTCTGTAGTAAGCATGTGTGTGATCGTGAGCTTGTCTGTAGTGACCATATGTGTGTCAGTGAGCTTGTCTGTAGTAAGCATGTGTGTGATCGTGAGTTTGTTTGTAGTGACCATATGTGTGTCAGTGAGCTTGTCTGTAGTGAGCATGTGTGTGTCAGTGAGCTTGTCTGTAGGGAGAGTGTGTGTGCATCAGTGAGCTTGTCTGTAGTGAGCGTGTGTGTGTGACAGTGAGCTTGTCTGTAGTAAGCTTGTGTGTGTATCAGAGTTTGTCTGTACTAAATTTGTGTGTGCCAGTAACCTTGTCTGTGTGTGTCATTGAGATTGTCTGTCAATGAGCCTATTTGTGTGCATCAGTAAGATTGTCTGTGTCTGTGTGTGAGTATGCTTTACTGTATAATTTAATTACCCCGAAAGAACTAATATTTTGAATTAGAAGAAGAAATGTATCAATAATATATATATATATATATATATATATATATATATATATATATATATATAAAAAAGCTGTTGTACCTTGCACTCAGGCATCAAAGTTGTGTGACCGGGTGCATCACCAGGGCTCCAGTATCCAGACAATTGAAATATGTTTATCTGAGCGAACAGCAAAGAAAGCAGTATATAGAATACAGTATACAGTCACCATCAGCGAGGACAGGGTGTCATTCGTTCAAGGCGAACACTAACCTAGTAACAAGTTTGCTTTCTAAATGCTCTAACTGCACCTAATGGGAGGGCCAGGGCCTGACTGGGGATACGAAGCAGCCCTGGAAAAAAATCTATGCCAGCCCCATAAGTCATTGTGCTATGTAGGGTGTTATATATATATATATATAGGCAATTGAAATAGTTGGCTGCACTCTCAGATTTCCTTAAAACGTAACTTTTATTGAAATATTTAAGAGATCAACGTTTCAGCCCCTCTTGTGGACTTTCATCATGATCCTGATGAATGGGAAACTCCCATTTAATTAGATCTCATGCTCACCTCCTTCCCTCCCCATCCATCAGTCTTGTCTGTTCCTCTTTCCCTTTTTTCTCTCTCTTTTTTTAATGTTTTAAATCTCTGGAATGAAAGAGACATTTCAGTGACTCAGTCACTTCCCATTGCCCTATTACAGCATCCTCTGCTCTTAAAGCTGAGAGCCTTTCACGTCCTATTTGGAAATTATAGGAAACGCATCCATTGTTTAACT